TGAAGGACTCTGCCTGTGGTCAGACAGCCTCTCTTTTATGTTTACCTGTTTGATGAATATCTTTGACTTGCAATATAATACCATCAAAAAAAAAAAAAAGATAAAAAAGAGAGAGAGAAGAAGAAAACCACCAATTTTGTGTTCTTTAATGTTCTGAATTAAAATAATTTTCTATATTTTAAAACCAATGTCAATAAAACCTGCATGAGTGAGGTAGGTAGCTAGAGGTAGGTAACATAGGTAGTTAGGCTATATAAAACACAACAAAAATGAAAAATAATCCCTACAGCTGCTTAATTCTTTGACTCACTACAGGTCACAGGCTGCCATTATAGACAAGTGCCAGCATAGATTTTGATAAAAATAAATTAATAATTTCCATTTTGATTTTTTTTAACCTGCTAACCAGGTTTTATAATTCAAAAAATTTTTCCTTGTTTTAGAGATTTACTAGTTTCCTGATCCTAGTAGTGTAGGTTAGGTGATGCAAGAAAGCATACTCATTACAATGCACTCCTATCTTCTAGCTTGGATAAAGTCAAGGAAATTAATTCCCATTGCTTCAAAGATACCATCTTTATCTTCAGAAATTTAGCCACAGTTTTATTTATTTTGTCCTTTAAAATTATGGAAAGTCCTTTAGTTTCATAGTAGGACTTCTTGTTGTTAAGCTGCCATTTTTTGCTGTCCTTCTCCATTTAAGAAATTGTCTGGCTACCTGTACTGGTTTAGGGCAAATTTGTTAAAGAAACTGCAAAGGAGGGCTCCTCCAGAAAGCGAAACCCACACGGCCCCTCCCCCCAACCGGTTCGGGAAAAAAATTCCTCGGAGAGAGGTGGAAAGAACCTGTTTATTTGACTGGCCCCGCACCCCCCAGCACACAAAATGAACAATACCCGAGGACACCGCTTTGAGAAAGATGGCAAAATCAGAAAGTCTCTTTCGGGGGGGTGGTTGCTCTGTTCTCTGTCCCTCCGGTGCTGGGCCAGCTGCTGCAGCCGAACCTTCGGTGTTCCCGGGTCCCAGTCCGGAGCAGGTTCGAGGTGGTCACAGGAACAGGAGAGGAGAAACAGTCCAGGAAGCAATGTGGACTGTTTAGCTAGAACTAGCTAATAAGCAGAGGCAGAAAGCAGAGCAGAAGCAAGAGCAGAAAAAGAGAGCAAGCAAAAGCAGCAAGCTGAAGCTGGAAGTGAAAAAACAGCCCTATGTACCGCTTGTCTCTGTCCTGATAAGAGAAACCCAAACAAAACTTCCACTCTTCAGAGCCGGTCTTAAAGGCACAGAACAGATGAATGGGGATATACAAGCATCATAACGTCACCCCAGGACACTACCAAATACTATATGAACTTTAAACTTCCTGAAACTGTAGGGAGAGGAGGGAGGGGCTATGCAATTTTTTTAAGAATAGATTTATAAAATATGTATTGGCTATAAGTTAACTTCCTCTGATGAAGTGCAGGTCTGTGGCACTGTGCTAAAATTACTTAGAACTTCTATTAGCAAATATCCTGGAAGTTAAATATCTGGGTTTATTTTCATCAATTTGCCCTAAGTAATTTAAAGAGGTAAAGCAGGAATATAACTGTACAGCATGTAAATATAAACTCATGTACCGAAAACTGCCCAAGATCAGGAATCTAAATTAATCTAAGCAGGGTACATAACCAATTAACATATAAGTGATTAGAACTACCTAAATTAGATGAGAGCAAATTCTGAAAATGGGAAGATCCAGGACTACATTGATTATTATTTTGCCTCATATCTTTTTAATGTTAAAGGATCATAAACTGCAAAATGTAATATATGAAACATTTTATGCAGAGCTAAACCCCAGAAACTTTGTATGATGTATGTCCAGATTAATAGATTAGAAAGTCATATTCCTTCTCACACTGGTGCTCATGCTCTCTCTGGCTCAATGAAGCTCTCATTCTTTGCTGCCTAATGACACATTTGCAGCAATGTGGAGATTGTGTTCTGTGAATTCCCCTCATCATAGCTGGGGCACCAGCGGCAAGGCTGATGAGTATAGCAATTATGAAAGTTAAGCATGAGGCTGCAGAGAGAGTGTAGCATCATGAATTCACAAAGTAACACTTTTTACGGTCCTTGGGCCAAAGGAAATTGTGGATCGAGATACCAACGTGATTTATTTCTGCACTTTTTTCCCGGTTAAAGTAATATGCTGTTGTAAAAAGAGGACAAGAGAACTATGCGGATGTTATTAGAAAAGCTGCTATAATATTTAGAATCTTCATTTACGTTTACAATTTTCAAATAATGGCATCAGCTTTGGGCACCTCTTATTGCCAAACTCCTTCTTCCAAAACTTAATTTTTAAAGATGCAGAGTCCTCTCAGAACAATTTGGGGCCTTGCCAAAATAGGGTAAAATGAACTGATATAGGAGTAATGTAGGGTTCATGTCCTTTCGAGTTTATTAATCAATTTTCGAGTTAACTTCTAAGCACTCTTGTTGAAAGGTAGTTCCATAAATTTAGTCTTCTACTTAAAAATATTTTTTTTTATTTTCTGTCTACATTTTTTTCTTAACTCCTCTAAATGTATTTTTTCCTGCCCACTCTGACTCAGTAAATAATTATTTTCTCTTTGTTGGCTGCCAATTTTTCCTGACTTCTCTTTGCAGCTAGTGGTTGTAGTTCTTAATTTCACCTTTCATTGTGCTTAAAAAGAATGCCTTGTAGAGTCTGAATCCCCTTGTTCAATTCCTCAAAGTTTTATTGAACACAATTACCAGAGGAAAATGAACATTAATAGCTGTTTTTTACATATATGAATTTTTTCTGGCAGGGAATTAATGCAATGTGTAGTGCAGCATGAGTATATGAAGTTATAGTAGGAAGGATGGTACAAAGAAAAACAAAGCCTTTATGACTGAATAATTAGCAATTATTTTCTTTTTTGTAGGTCAATATTGCTAATAATTCATTCTCATAAAAATAATTTCACAATGCTTATAATAGGACAAAAGGAAAGAATTTTAAAGGCTGGATGGCTGTAATAAAGCAATTTTCAAGACAATGCAAGCAGGAATTCTTGGTTATGTATGTGTACACATATAGAAAAATAGAGGAATTTGAAGAAAAAGTACTGAGACAGAGAAGAAATCTAAGAGGTCCAGCTAAAAGGAGAGAGACATAGGAGATATTGCAACCCATGATAATAAGAATTATTAAGAAAAATTAAGTTCCCAGAGATTAGGTAGAATGCTGCAATAAGAAGAAAATTGGGAAAAGAAGGGAATCACAAACTAGTAGCATTTATTAAAAGGAAGAAAATTATCATTTGAATGGGACAGAAAGCTGGAATTGAGAGTAGGATGAAATATGGGTAAAAAAAAGGAGAAAAGTATGCATAAAAGAGAAAGCAGTAAGAAAGCACAGATGGCATTCCTTCACAGGTCTGACATTTTCATATGGTGATTCAAAACTGAATCTTGCAACATAAAGTATTAAATAATTGAGTATCTCTGTTTATTAAATGAAACCTCTCCTCCTATTAGAGAATGTTTTTTGATTCTATGAACCTTGTTATATTTTGCTGTTTATGATCTGAAATACAGCGATCAGGGCTCAAGCCCGCTGTATTTGTTTTGGAAAGTTATGTTAACAGGTCAGACAGGTTTGGCCATGTATTGGCAGAGCAAAAGTTCCATGAATTAAAATGATGTAGAATATATGGCTGCTTTTGACAATCTCCTTTTCATCAATTTGAATCATAAAAAATTACCCATTGTTTGACTGTATATTACTCAAGAGAAATGTTGAGACCATGGGAAAAGTAAGTTATGTGTCAAAGGTTCATTGTATCCAAAGTTATACTCAGCTGAACACAAAAATAATTTCTTGCTTGAATATTTCCAAGCATCTCTTGCAAAAAAAAAAATTGACACTTCAGCCCTCATCCAAAATAGGTTAAGATAAATGTTAAAGAGAAGTACATTCTCAGCAAAGTTTCTGCATTTAAGCTGTCCACCATTGAAAGCCTGATATCAGTTATTCAAAATTCGTGCTTATTGGTGCACTCATGTCTAAAGTATGTGTCTCTAAGGAGTTTGAAATTATTTAATGGAAATTGTAGTACATGCTTTCTTTACACTTCAGGAGTCTCTATTCCAATTTGACTTTGGCAGAATTTTCAACCTATCTGTCATGCATCCCTCTGATATCTTCTTCAACATAGTTTAGTGTATCTTCTCATAAATCCTTTGCATTTTAAGTATACAGTGCATTAAGTATACAGTGTTGAAACATAATGATCCATGTTTCACAGAATGAGGGAATGGATTTAAAAAACAGAACACATGATTCTCCCAAATTACACATGAAAACTGGGAAAATGATTATATCTCAGTCAATCTGAAATGTCTACCTAGACAACAGAGTGCAGCTGGATGTCATTCTAAGATAAATTCAGAACAAATTTGGAATCTGGAAGTAGATCAAAGAAATATGAATTACTTCAAAATCCTACAACAGAGGTTTATTTTATACCTCAGGTTAGCATTTTGGACACTAAAAATATATGTGATTCAAGAAAACTCTTCAAACACATGTGACTCAAGATAGCTGTTTTGCCTGAACAGGTATATTTCTTTCCACTGAAAATTTATTTTCTTATTGATCATATTAAACAGCATATAAGACTCACTTGTAGTTCATCATACTCTACTTAAATCACATGGGTCTGTATGTAGACTTCTTTTTCTTTTTGAGGGAAAGAACTTCATTTGTTGTTTCCAACAAAAGGTGATCAAAAAACCTTAAAACTGAATTTTTAATGATGTTATTTGTCATCCCATTATATTCTTGATAGTATGACTTAAGAAAAGGGTAAATAACAGATAATAATTTTTATCAGAATCTTGAGATTCTTGCCCTTTGGATCTAGCCAAGTAAAACTGTATGGGGAAGTTTAAAATATGCAAGCTGAACCCCTAATTGTGTTATCATACTCACTTAAAAGAATCACCTCTGCAACACATAAAAACAGGCATGTTTATTTTTGCACAGTGACATTTTCAATATTCAAATTTATTAGAAACAATTTGTGTCAAACAAAGGTTAAGAGTTTAACATTGTGCTCTATTGTCTCCACTTGCATTCTATACATACATGTCCAAGATATAACAGAACCATGGTAAAAGCATAACATTCAGTAAACTGCTCTGCAAATATTGCAAATCTTAGGACAGCTTAATTGAATGTATTTACAACCATATTTATACATTTTCTTAATGTATTTATTGTCTTACATTCCAAAACATTGTACGCTTATGTTGCTCTTTTTCCATACTAAGTGAACTCATATGTCAACATCCCAAAATATTTCCTCAATACTGATTTCGTTTTTGACTAAAGCTTCAAAACTTCTGACTGGATCCATTTGATGCAAAAAATCCTATAATACATCTGCAAACAGTTGCATGCTCATATGACAGCACTGGAAAGTTTATATTTGTGACATGCTGTTGATCACACCATTCCTGCTTTAACAATGCTTCTCTTGCATTAAAGACTCAGACATCGTTTTCCAGTCTCTTTCTCAAAGCAAGCAGCCATAATCTGATACAAGCTCTTTTGGTATGCAAGGTGAAGGCAGAAGCATTTTAGTTAAAGAATGAGCCATCCATTAGCATAAGTCTGCTGACACTTTGTGTTTACTAGACCATTCTAGAAAAACTAGTTTTTATTTCCCCAATTAATGATGACCTGCAATCTGTGCATAACAGTTATTTCTACGTCAGTTTGGTAGCAGCTCTTCCTCTAATTCTAATTTTACAAATAATCATAATGTATGACAATATAAATTATTAAATGTACACTGAAATTAAAAAGGACTTGGAACTTATCTGGGGTTCTTCTTTTTTTTTGGTTGTTGTTTATGCTTTTTAGGAAGGCAGAGGGGAATGATAACAGTCAAGCAAGTAAAGTTTATTCTTTAAATTCTTTGAACCAAAATCTTGGTTTCATTTTCTTTATAAATTTTTAAAGAATTCTGACTCAGTTTCCTGAAGTCAACTAAACATAACAAAAGATATGTTAAGTACGTGACATAGAAAATACATTTATAAAAGTTTGTGCATTTTTTATTCTCATTCTAACAGAATCCTGACATGTATTTTTCTGCAAGGTTCTAGATACATAAACATATGTTTCATGTCTTATGTAAAATATAGCCACAATTTTGAAAAATGGAATAAAAAAATAAGCATTTGATTTTAAAGAGCAAAGAATATGGTCTGTGGTTTTAGAAGGTGCTAAACATTCACAGTTTATAATGAAATGAACAATTAATCCAGTGTTTTGCACTTTGTACAGAACTGCACAAAACCGTGAACTTTCATAAAAACAAAAATTCACCTACATTAGATGTACAATGAATGTTATTTCAAAAGTTGATTTTGATCACATAAAATATATATCTTTAATTATCTATATACGTAGAGCTGTCAAAGAATATGTAGTATGGTGTAAACGATTGGTGAGATAAACGATAACATGGATAAATCTATTAGCAAGTCAAGTTGATTTACAATTTCAGATATATCATACTATTGGCATTTTTTTACACTTCATTGTTGGTATTTCTACTAATTTAGGTACCTAAATCTGGTTATTCTCATTGGCACCCTTATAAATCAAAGAGGAAAACAATGTATTTCAAGGAGGTGATTTTTCTGTATGCCTACATTTGGCTGACATGACCCATCTGATGGGAGATGTCTGCTTTCCTCCAGTTTTTCTCTTCCCACACAAGGGCCTGGAATAATGATGCCCATTGATTACAACAATTCTTGTTTTATACAATCCTATTTCATGTTCTGAAAGTTTGTGAAGTTTAATTTTATAGATATATCTTGTAGGTTACTGTATTAGTTTGCTCCCCTATCCCTCAAATACAGGATATCTAAAAATTTAGGTAACCAGGATCTGCAGGTGCAATTTTATGAACACTTTTTCTCCTTCTAGGTTAACAAAGAGATATATTTTTCTACCTTTGCCTGTAATTTGAAAGCTCCAAATTATGCACTTTCTGAATATCATAAGTGTTTGATTTCAGAACAGAGAAATTGTTTTTTGTTCAATGCATATTTGAATCTTGGAGTTATATTCTAAATTAAATTCCTGTCATATTTATTGGAAATAAATGTTTGTGGGGCCAGTTCTTTCTAGGCAATTCTCAAAGGGTAGAGATGCATCTTATCCAGCTTAAGTAATTCTGCCTGAACTAGTCATTTTAAGCACTTTTGCAATCAATGGAGAGAAACACATTTTTAAAGTGTGATTTATTTCACCTATTAATGTGATGAATCATGTCCTGGAAATAGTGATTTTTCTACTCTGCCTATAAGAAAATCCTTTGGATGTATAATTCTGATGTGGACATTTGTGCAGTAGAACCCTCTTTATTACAACATGAATATTTATCCATTCAGCCTGCTATAGCAAGTCTTCTTTCTCTTTCACCTTTCAAATGGAATAAACGGCCATTTAAAATTAACTGATATCCTGGAAAAATATACAGATATACAAACAAGAAAAAACCTAAGCCAAATAGTCTGTGTTCACACTATGTCTCTATGTGAGATTTTCCACAATGTGACTGAAATGTGCCACCCAAACCTTCACAAAATGGCACTCAGAAACATTTTACTGTTAAATAGAAGAAAAAACCCAAAAAGTGTACATTAGGTAATAACAACCAATGTTGGTGATTTTTTTCAATAACTGCTGAGCAAGGGTGATTGACTCCTGACTTGGTTACAGAACATATTTTTGACTGAAGTGATGCAAAAAAAGATAATTTTCCATATAAAGAGGATCTCTACAAGTTAGCATTTCCCATACTTGCCAGCATTATTAAGTATTAATGGATATCACACCTATTCTCACTATTTGTATCATTCATTGAACAACTGAGGTTAATATTTTCAAGCTTAAGCAACCAGAAGTAAAATATTTTTAAATTCAGGCTGTCCCATCACACAGGTGGGTTGTTAGATAATAATTTCAAATAACTAGTGGCACTGAGTGCATATGCATACATATATATATATATATATATATATATATATATATATATGTATGTATATATGGGATCATGGATTCTATTTGCCTACAAAAAGGTATCTAATATCATCTGGGATACTTTACAGCCCATTCAACCTCCTGTTACCATTCCATAACTTCATCTGTGTCATATGTGCCAGCCCAGTGTGGATGACTTAGATAATTTTGGGCATCTCACATGGTATCAGGTACTTATGTGGGGGTGACTAAACTGAATGCTCATCTATTTAATGGAAACCTCTCACCTTTGAAACATCATTTCTTCCTGGAGGCCATCAAAGGCAGCCCTCTTACAACACTTTTCTTGGGGACATTAGAAAGAGTTCACTAAAAATGTCACCAGACTCAACACACAACCTAGGCCACCTGAGCAAGGAAAAGTGAACATGAACCTGGTTCACAGACCTAATTCTGAGCAGTACTAGACTTCTGCAAGAATGGATTTATCATCATCATTATTTTAATTTTTGTCCATATTTTAATCATCATGGGAAATCCGGGAAAGTATGGGGTGATAGACGTGTAAGCAGCTTACACCTCAGCTTTGAATACTTTTGCAACTCTTAGCAGGTGATGGATTTGGCAGCTACACAAATTCCCCAAGGTGAAGATGTGAATAGCCAGTGATTCGAAGCTGTATTGTTCCCTGTCACCACAATTCTTACCTGTGCTAGCAATTTTCTTTATGGTTTAATATCTGACAGCTGTAGTCCTGCATGTGGAAATCAAGCTTATGCTGATATAATGATTTTCACTGGTTTCTCTGTCCCAGAGTGTACCCAGTCCCCATGAACTATGAAGCAGAACTATAATGAGGGAATTTGCAATGAATTGCAAGGTTATGCAAATTTGAGCAGCTATACACTGGATTTAGAATAATGCTGAAGAATAATTATTCTGCTGAAAATTTTATGCATTCTCATTTAAGTTAGAACAGATATACTGCATGGATAATCTGTTTTTAAAGAAATATATCTGGAGTTATTTTAACATATTGAGATTCTGAGCTGGAAGTAAGCCTGCATCGCCTAGTGTATGCTCATTTATTTGATACAGTAAATGCAAAAAATCCAATAATTTGATATTTTACAATTTAAATGATGGAATCTATTACTGCTATTTGAAGGAAGTTACAAGAGCTTTTATGAAGTCTTTGTGGAAATGCCTTCTCTATTTATTCCTCATGAAATAACTAATGTAAATTCATAGATAACATAGGTCATAGGTCACATTTCTTTCCCCAGCTCATTGTGAGCAAAATAATAAGGAAAGTTTTCCAGAATGCAAATTGTCTTGTGGAAAAAGTGTATTTCATTCCTAATCACAATTTACAGCTTTTCTGGTTTTTGCTCATGGACATCAAGTCTGAGCCATTAAAACTTGCATATAACTTGCATAACTCAAATTTCTTTTGTGAGTTACTTTTATTGAAATAATAGAAAATGTTTAAAACATAATCATATTTATGGGAATTTATTTAGGGCCTTCTAAACATGCTGAAAATATCTGAATAATACATAGAGATAAGATTATAGATATAATAAATATATATTTCTAGATATATTTTAAGCATTTTCAAAATAATGGTCAATTGATAGCAGGTTTCTTTAGAAGAAAATGGTATCCAAGGAAATGATCCTTCGTCTATGCTAAAATTGTTCCCTTACATCAAGTAATGTTAGCTTAACAGAGTAAAATTATGAGGCAGGCAACTCCCTGAAAGCATCCTAATATTGTCTTAATAATTGGACAAGTTTGATATGAATAAAAAGTCTGTTCTATATGTAAAATGATTTTTAAAAATTTACTTCTGATTTTTAAACAATATAAGTATTTTGATTGCAAGAACATATATTAAAATAATTATTGAACAATTGTAACTAAATGAAATGAAATAATATTCATAGCTTATTTGTGACTTTGATAACAATGTAAAATTTTCCTATGAAATTGGATGTAGTGTCAATACTAAAAAGCTCCACTAAAGAATAGGTATTAATTGACATGTTCAGATATGTAGATATACAAGGGTTCCAGCTTTTTAGGAAATATCTACATTTCAAGGAATTTATTCATCGATTTCAGTAAAATTAATGTTTGTCGCAGCTCTGATTTCCCTGTGATTTTCATACTTTGAAATCAAAGAGATCATGTGAGAGAAAATAAATAATGGTAGATGAACTAGTTCACCTGTTTTTTGAAAAGACAGCGGCTTTCTTAATAAGTAAACTTAACATTGTTTAGCACAATTCAGTGCATCAGAAGTGATTTTAACACTTATACATGAGAAAGTGTAAGATGGTTTTAATGAACCACAGAAAACAAGACTACAATTACATAGTACTTGGATTTAAAGATATTTTCTTTGAGGAAAAGGTAAAACTATTATTATTTTCAGTGAAAGTAAACACAATAGTAAAGAAGAAAGATTTAATTTTTTTCATAAATTCTCTTTAGAAGAAACTTGTAACACTTGTATAAATATGAAAGCCAATTTTGATTCTTATTGTGGCTAGATTTTACATAATCAAAATAAAACAAATACAAATTTTATGGTTTCAAAATATGAGAAGTGGAATAGACTGAAAAAATTCACATGAGAATCCTTTTGGCAAATTAAAACCAAATTGAAAAAGTAGAAAAGGAAACTGAGAATCAAAAATGAAATGAGGATAAATGGAAGAAAATAATGATCAAGGCACTTTAAACAAATTTGGCACAGAATGAAATTAGTAGGAATAATTCGCCTTTGAAGATCGGTGTACAGGTAGAGTGATAATATTTCTATTATATATTAATATAATGAAATCAAAAGAAAGTTCTGGGAATAGAATTAAAATTCAATTTCTACGTTCTTTAGCTATCTCTGTAGGAGTTCTGAATGCCAATATATATATTAAATTACAGTTATAATTTTAGAATCTTCTTCATTTGGTGTCCAAAACTTGTGCTTATGTGAAGCAAAATCTTTAGAGAGGTAACATTTCTATTCAACAGCTTGTTGTAGTTGGAGAAAAATTCATATGTTTGTCTGTGAAAGACTAATTGCAATTCAAAAGGCAACTGGCTGTGGAAAATTAATGTTGAAGTGTTTTCAGCTGATTCCAAATTAGGACAGAGAAATATTTAAAAGATTTAAATCCATATACTTAGGCTTCACAATTGCAATTCAACTTACGTCAGTAAACAAGGACCTCCATGCATACTGATGCAGTTAGAAGGAAAGACACACCTTCAAATCAAATGTCTCAAGATGGAAGTTCTACATATTTTTTCATCTCAAATGATTGCAGAGGTTTCCCCTAAGAAAACTCATTTTAGTGCGACCAGAATTCCTTCTCAAAATTGCTAGTGACAGAGGATTGTGAAGTTTTGGCTTTTGGGCCATAAATTGTTTTCTATAGGATCAGCAAGGCTTTAGAGAAGTATATTTGGTGCCCTATTCCCAGAAACTGTGCATCCCTAAGGAGCAGGATTTCATATTCCAGTAGTGCCCTTAGGTTCTAACTGATTCAGCTGAGCAGACAGAAAGCATCAGCACCAAATCTACTGCCAAATCAAAAGCTCAAGCTATCATTACTGGCAGAAATTATCAATCCTAAAGGGAAGCACAGATGACAATAGTATATTTACCATATGAAATTTATTGGATCAAATTGTCTAATTTTCCTTATTCCACTTGCATTTATTCTGATTTCCTGACTTGCAGTTATTCTCAGTCACAAGTGGAAAGTAATAAATTTGCAGCTCTAAGTAGGCAAAATCGTGTATGTACAAGCATCAGAAAGAAATAAAATGTAGGAATTTTCTCCCTTTTGAAATGTTAGAAGAGTCTCTATAGACTGTTCTTGTCATTGTTCATCCATTAACGTGATGCAGCAAAATAAGGGGATCAATTTTCCAGCTTGTCATGAGCTTCCAACATGCAGTGGATGCATTAAACAATGAGGTTAGAGCCCACATGCTTAAATTGAATATGAGATTAAAAAATAATTAGGTTACTGTTTCTTTGACTCCCATATTTGCAACAAAGCCCCAGTGCAGGGACAGGACTGCTTTATATTACTTGATTAAACACACAGGCTTCCCCCTCAACAGACTAATTTATAAGATGCATTAATACAGGTGAGGATGTACAACCTGAAGTTGCAAAAAAGTCTACTTTTAGTTTTGTGTTTCTTCCTGCTTTAGAGTCACAGCTCAGTCACTATGAATATCCAGACCATTTGAGCTCTTCTTTTCAGTAAAGTCAAACTGATCATTTAAATGAGAAGACCATAACCCATTTGAAGACAAGACTTGAACAGCAAAAAAAATTATATTACTACCCACTTTTCTCTTTTAAAAAACACAATTAAAAATTGATTAAATAAACTTTCATGTTTCTGCAGTTATCTTGCAGCCATGAAAACTGTTCTCATATTCCTTTCCACTCTTTGTGCAGGTTTCCCATGATTATCCAGTTCTCAAGGATGCATTGATGAGAACAATACCTGAACTTACTACTCTACATTCACATATTTACGCCTACAATACTCTGGGGGCTTTTTCCTTGTTCACTGACTGTGAACGGTTTTATGATTTTATAGGGCATAAATACTTAATCTTTGTCACTTTCAAAGTTCTTCAAGTTTGCGATCAACAGTGTATTCACTGTGTAGATCCTTGTTCTTGTGAAGTTATCATTCTCTTTGTCTCGTAGAAAAATAATCATTTCACAGTCAGTAAAATCCTAAGCAGGGCTGACAGTGTCACGGTTGTTTGATGACTACAACACAGGCGCCAGCCCTTCCAATATTTAAGGACGCCATCTGCAGAAAAACAGACACAAATTACTGAATAGGAAAAAACCATGTAAAAGATTGCCAAACAGGAGCAAGCCATGCAAAGATTGTCAAAACGCTGAGTCAAAATTATTTTAAAATGGTCAAAACTAATGGGAGTATAAATTGCTAAAAATAAACAAAACCCACATTATGCTACTATTGTAATTTAAAATTGCTTACTCACACCTGACATCTTTCATTTGAAAGATGTGAGAACAGGAAGCAGAAATTAATTTTAGAGTTGTCATCAATTTTGTGAACAATTGATATGCAAGGGGGTTCTGTGTTCTGTAGACTGTGGCTGATGCTTCCACTCTAGTCCTTGAGGCAAGGTGAAAGCTATCAATGTACAGAAATGGTTCCAGTATTCCTAAACAGGTTCACGTGTCTTTTAATTCTAAATATTTTTTGACAATTTTAAACAGTTTTCAAGACAATACAAGGATTAAAACCTTTAGGGGACTGAATCTCACTGAAACTATCACAGTAGAGTTAGTTTATATGTATGCAACCACAGTCTGTAATTGGTGCAACTGTATAAATCAGAACACTGTTTACATGTCTCCAAACTACCTGTCCAATCATGTTGATTAATGGTTTTTAATGTGAACTGGTGGTTTTGCAAAAAGAAAATATTCCCAAATTAATTTAGTATCTCCTACAGAATATCATAAAAATGCTCTTCCCAGTAATTCATAGTAGATTAAAAAATATGGCCTTCTGTTCTAACTTTAAAGCATTTGTGTCTACATGCAAGCTTGTCAACAGAAGTTCCCTCTTGCAATCATAAAAAGAAATGGGCATTCTTGAGTATAATACATCTCATCTATTTTAAATGCTTATTTTAAGATCATGATTCTCAAGTATGAACCTTTCTGCACTAGGTTTAAAGAAATCTTGGCTAATGGCTAATTCATACATACAAGTGTGTATATGCATGTGTATGTGCACATGTGTATATATAAAAAAAACTTTATAATTACCTGTGTCCACTCATTAGTTTGAGGATCATATGCTTCCATCGTGTTCAGGTATGATTGACCATCGTAGCCACCTACTGCATATAATTTGTCACCAAGGAGACAAACACCAACAGCATCTCGAGGCATACTCAGTGGAGCCACCATTGTCCATGTATCAGTTTTTGGGTCATATCTGAGCAAAGAAAAATGAAACTGGGTATGTGCAGACAAGACAAGCATCAATTCATGTTGATTTTCACTTGAATATTGTTCTTTTTTTCCTGGGGGGAAAAAAACCAAACCTTTAGTATCCTACCCAAAATAATTCTTCCTAACATCAAAAAGAAAAGATACAGATTTATTGTGTTGCCAATTCAACCCTCTAGCTGCTGATTAGAAACTATTGCTCACAATCTTCTAGAATAAACTAAGGTATTTGTAGGTTAGTGTGTCATAAAGAGATCTGATATATCAAGATATATGACCATAAAGATGTGAGCAATATCTGAATGGATGGGTATAACACTTATCTGTTATGTATACATTTAAAGTGGGATATTTCCCATAGCACATTTAAAAGATCAGAAATATTATTTCTAAAATTAAATTTCACTTTATTTCAATTTCTGAAATTATACTGTACATCAGTAAAAATCTCCCTATGTATTCTAATGCTTAACTGCATTACAGTTAGTGTCTCCTCCTGATATTTGCTCAAGTAGATTAAGTAATACTGTTTCTTAGACATAATCACAACTGAATTTTTAAAACTGAGGGTAAAAATCCTTTTGTATAATGATGGTAATTTAAAAATTAAATATTTAACTTAGGTTTTCATTTAGATAGTCCTTAACACAGTAAAATTGTTAAATTTCTGAAGTCATTCCATTGCAACTCTTTTGGACATGCCTAAACGAGAAATTGTCATTATTATTATTAATTATCTTTTGATAGTTTTTACCAAGGATGTCTGGAGTATTAGGTTACACTAGATACCTTATTTTTAAATGTCAAATATTGCTAAAACAGAATAGTGCATCAAAGTATAACAGAATTAATTTAATCTGTCCTTAAGCAAGTTTATTATGTAATAGAATCATGTGATCAGTGGGGAAAAGAAGTTTCAGTCTACAAATCCTCTAAAAAGCCTGACTTTATTAGTTTGCTTGAATGTAGTAAGTCATATTATCAATAAGCATCTTGGAGGGATACTGTCTGAAGTCCTACATATCTGAACAAAGAAATACTTTATAAATATATATTATATATATATATATATATATATATTAATACAAGCACTGAAACAGCAATGCTAGTGTTTTGCTTGTAATAACCTTTTGGTTCATAAATATAACTTTTAAATTGGACGATAAAAGAATTGTCTGTGACCTTGTTCATATTGTTCTTGAGACGTTTTAAGAAAACAATCTATTTGTGTGCTAGCTGCCAATACTGGCATTTGGGAGACTTCTCAAAAAATAAAATCTCAAACATCTAGATATATGATAAATGTCTTTCCTAACTTTAGACGAAAATAGTGCAAAATATTGCTTGAGTATGTGGAAGGGAACTGACCATGTAACAAGCCCAAAAAAAAATTTAATGGATTTTTTTTCAAAGATTGTGTGAGTTTTTCAGCAACAGCATCATATCAAGATGAGACAAGGGGGAAAAAAACTATGGGTCAAATGACTATGTTTTTAGCATCTGTCAAGTTCTGAGCAACATGTGAAGAAGAAAACCTGCTTTATGAAATCTGCCAAAATATCTTGAAAATTTTATAATTCTTATGAAGTAGTTGTTTTGCCTTTAAAAAGGAATAGAAGATTGCACTTTGCCAACTTGTGAAGATGAATGAAATGTAACTTATTTCAGACTGCTTGAAGCTAGACAAAATCCTTTATAAATGAATCAACCTTAGAAGGAAGTAAACTGCAATACCTAACTACTATTGAGCAGTACTTAAGCGGTAGCATTAAGAAAACACGTATCTGCTGCCTCCACTATATTTGCACAACCTCAAAAATAAATTTTAAAATATTATGTTTTGTTTGACAGTCTTTCAGGAACAAATTGGTACTGGAATAAAGCACATCCTACCAGTCTGCATCAGAATGACAAAATGACTGAAGCAGACTCATTCCTGAAGAAGAAGAGAGTTAAAAAGCAGGCTATCAGTATTTACAGAAAGAAAAACTTTCAGAGAGATATAAAATTACTCAGATAATAGACCTCCTCATCACTTACTATTCTTTGTTTTCCTAACATATTGAGGAGTTTTATTTTTTGGAAGTGATGCATTATTTTGGAATTAAAAACCAGATACTAAATAACATTCCAGCCATCTTATAAACTAACTAATCACTGCAAGGGATATGAGAGATTTTTTCACATTTCAGTGGAGTCCACCAGTTAACTCACATCCACTCCATGTAAGTTTATAATCTTACAAATTTTTGTTTGTTAGTCTCAACTTTTAGACTCAAAGCTAACTATTGATGAACCACATCATCCACTCTTTTTGCTACCAGTGGAAAAAATATCTAGATGAAGGATACCATATATTTTCACTCTAACACTAGTACATAAAACAGCATAAAGAAAGGTCTAGCTGATCTTTGCAGTCTCTCTTGAGAAAGAAAAATGTGATAGAGTATGGTTTGTCATCAGCACCAGAAGGGTTTTCTTCTCAGAGAATGAAAAATGAAATAAAAGCTCCCTTCTGAGTACCAATAAGCAGAAGCAGTTGAAAATATATCATTAAGACTGCCACTAGTAGTCTTAATAAAAATTTATTTAATTGAAAATTCTTGGTATTGCTCCTTATAAATAGGGGTCCACAAGCATAGTTCCTGTAAGTACAGGCATCAGGGGATTTCCCTGATAAACTGTCCCTCTGTTGCAGATGAGAAGAATTTGGCAATTATGTTTGCTTACATATAGTAGACATAGCAATGGGTCTGATTGAGTATAATCATATGGATAACATAAGGAGTTTTAACTCATAATTTTTCAATTATATATTGAATACCAAGCTGGATTTAGCAGCAGAAATAACTGACATTGGATCAAGCCCTTCTGAAAAGAAATAACAAGGTAAAGTATCCCAGCTTATATGTTAAGATAAATCAGTTACTCAAGCATATCTACTTTAACTTTTGCAATCTGTGCTCATTTGGAGTGAATTTCCTTATTCTATTTTATAGCATTCAAAAATAGGAAAAAAAGGTCAAACATTCATGAAAAATTTGAAGAATACCTTTAAACTGAGTGCTTTAATCACTTCATCTGTGCTGCACTGCTCTACTAGATATACTTGGATTTGTAGAAAATCTGCTTGCAAAATTCAAGGTACTGTAAGTGTATCAGGCTTACATCACGACATTAGAAAGTGGCAATTTTGATAAAGGAAGGAATCCATTGTTATGTGAATATCCATCACTTAAACAGTTCTTTATTTCTTCTTTGCTTTGTTATGTTTTTGGAGTTAGAAAATATTCTAAATATAATTCAATTTTGTGTTATAAAATTATTTAAAGGAAAAAAATTAATCTCTACAAGTTTTAGTTTGCGACACTTCAATGCATAATATACTGCCCTAAAATTACTTAAATGGGATGTGAAAAGAGTGGATTTTTGTGTTTGTGGTAATATATAATAGTATAGTAAATAAAAAGGGATTACAATAAGATTCGAAGAGATTGTCTTTCACACACCTTTATAGAATTTTTCAAGTAAGAACTAACTAGACATTTCTAGGGTTAAGAACTGTTTAAATTTGCCATAACTAAGCTAAGTAAATAATGCTAACAGATATTATTTTGTGTTTAAAAAATGCATGTACAATTTGATACCTTTCCACATAGTCCAGCAGTCGAGAGCAGTGATTAGAAGCAGGAGCATCGTGACCTCCAACTGCATAAAGAAAGCCATCACAGGTAGCCACTCCTACACCTCCTCTTCTCTTGCACATAGGAGCACACATATTCCATTTATTTGTGTGAGGATCATAATATTCCATTGAACTCAAACATGAACTTCCATCCCGACCTCCAACCGAATATAACCTAAGAAAGTCCATGCAAATAAAAATGTTGACAAAACAAGAGCTCAGAATTGCATAAAAAATAAAAACAATGAGTAACTGGTTTTTTATCTGACATCAGAAAATAGAAAAAAGAAAATACATAATATTTGAAACCATGTGAATCTCATACAGTGGAAAAACACAGATGTTTTCAATATTATTACCAAACTCATGTGCTACTTAGTATTTTGTCCACCTGAAGAGAAAGGAAGATATTTCTTTCCGCTAATGAATATTTTCATTCTTTCTTTACTGCATATTCAGTCAAGAGCACCAGAAATGACATGCAGGTTTGTCTCTGTAGGTTTAAAAATCATGTAAGCAGGGGAGAATATATTTTCATGGGGGCATTGGCATTGCACCAGTGTCAAACCCTGATACTGCCTAAGCTCACCATCTATGAGATGGAAGTGGAAGTGCAAACTTATATCTGTTTATCCAGACAAGGAAGAAATATGCAGCCCATTTATTATAGTTTCTCTGTGTTTTTGCTGTGCATCAAAGTATTAAGAAGCACAAAAAATATAGAAAACAAGATCTGATATTAAACAAATTCCACATAAAGATCTATCAATGGGAACACATTTTCAGCATGAGTTTTACACTTAGAATACAGTAGAGATCAAATATGAAATGTGTTGCAGATAGGACTATCACATTATATTTTAAACATGGATTTAAAAAAATTACTACCTCAGTTTCAAGGCTCTTGCTTGTGCTGAAGAAAATTCTTACCCACACTAAAAGCAACATATCTACTTTGCAAGACAATTATAATCCCCAACCACAGTGTCTTGTTTTTCTTCATCAGAATGTTTTATGAGGGTAGAGTTATGTTGGAAAGTCATGGACAACTTCTGAAGAGTATTTTAAACTTGAAATTATAAAAAATGTAGTTTAACAAAAATGATGTTGTGTTGGTAAGCATCTACAGGCAAGAAACTTGTCTCGTTCTACTGTTTATAATGGGTCCCAGGAGGAAATAGTTCTGATTGTTCTTTCCACCTAATACCATGCTGTATTCATTCCACAAGAACCTTTTTGCAGTCTGTTGCCTTTTATATAGTGCCTAGAGATTAACTAATAGAAACACAGGCTATTTTAAAGTCCAACCACTAAGCAATTTTGGATGTGAGAGCTGTCTCTGTAAAGCAATTACTCGTTTGGAAGCTTTTACTGTCCTAAGCACTCCATGAATTCAGAGCCATTTAAATGTGCATTTACCATTACATTTCATTGGTATGGATGCTGATGAATAAGGAAGTGCTGTACAACCACTAAATATGTCACTGAAGCCCGAGAACATTTTGGTAGTGCCTGACAGACATACCTGCGCTCTGACTAAAGCACCCAGGAGAATCCATACTCCTCTGTGAGAGATACTAAAGCAAATATACTTTTTTTTCCCTTTGGATTCAGACCTAACATATTTAACTTTATCTATGATTATCAGATGTCTACAGATGAAATAAATATTAAAGCATCCAATTCTGTTAATCTGTGGATGTCTACAGTGTCCAATTTGCCATTACACTCAGAGTAGTCATCTGAGCCTATAGAACAGCATGAAAATATATTTAAACGTGAGCAAAAACATTTACATTAATATAAATGTAAATATAAATATTTACATATAAGTGTCTGCAAGGATATTATCTTTATTTTCAAAGATGGTGAGTTGGTTCAGCTACCCATAGACAGTGATGAAACATTTTTTGTGACATTTAAGTTATACTGACATTCTGTCCAGGCTGAGAGATATGGAAAATTGTACAGTACAAAACCCAGCAGAAAAAAACATGACTGCTGGCACCCTGAAGCCAGTAGACAACTACATGTCAATAAGTGAATTGATCCCCAAAAATATAAACCATGATTAAGATTTCTGAGATTGTTGGATATTTGGACACGTAAACACTGAACATCATTTAAAAAATGCAAAGAACCAACACTTCTGCAGACTTGAGTGCAAATAATCTTGTGCACCCCTACTCAAAATACCACCAATTTGGTATTTTTTCTGGCATGGAAAGTTCCTCTTTATTCCATCATCTTTCAACTGAAATAAATCAATAAGCTGATATTTGCACACTGAAAGTGAAATATACTCTCTCATTCCTCTATTCCAATTAAGTCAGCTAATAAAATATAGCTGAAGGCATTCTTGAGTTTCTGGTAAAAAGACAGCAAATGCTGTTCATAAGTAACTGATAAAAGTGATTGGGACCACCTAGTCTGTTGCTAAAATGCTCTCAGCTATTCAGAACAAAATCCATTTTTAAAATCATATTTTGGAATTAACATTTTAGAGTTTGATTATGTTTCTATTTTTTTCTCTAAGGAATCATTAATTATTTTTTTTTAATTTTACAAGAGTAAAATAAAAATAGTTCAGACAGGAAAAAGTAGTAACTGTTTAAAGCTCTGGTTGTGGCTGAGCTTGAACAATTCAGTCAGAAATTGCTTCCAGTCTTCAATCAATTTCCAAATCTGTATTCACAAAGGCCCAAAATGATTGGGGAACAGCTCTGCAACAAGCATGGAATATTCAGGATACTGAATCAGGAATCTGAAACTTTTGAAATCCTTATAATTAAAGCTATTTAGTAGTCTTACTTCCCCTTTTAGAGCTTAGGGTGTTGTTTTATTAGATGACTTTAAAATTAAACAATTTTTTCAGCTTTGTCCAGCTTGTCAAAAATTTGTAATATAATTTCTATGGGGAAAGATATCATGTATTTCTCTGAATTAACTGAATTACTCTTCATGGTATATCCCATCAAAACTAGAATTATTATAAAAATAATAATCATATATCCCTCCCTAGAGAGCAAGACCAGCAAGGAAAAGAAAGCATCCAGTACTGATCATTTTTATCTCCACAGTGAAAGTTCTGCCTGTGGAGATATTATAGATTTCTATTCCTAAATAGTCTACATTTCAGCTGATTCAGACACTGTGCATAGATATGAAATTAGGCCACGCTCAGCCTCTTCTGTCTTTTCAGGGTTTTGTCACTTCTTTTACTAAGATGGAGAGAGATTCCTGAACATTTATATATATATAACCATATATATAATTGGCTAGAAAAATGAACTAGAGGTTTCAAAGAAAGGAAAGATCCTGACCAGCTGGATCAAAAGCATTTATCTCAGTTCTGTCACTACAAACCTTTGATAACTAGTCAGAAAAGACAGTTTTAAATTCAGTTTGACAAGCCAACCTCAAAAGACCAGACTGCCTTTGATGTGAGGTGGGTATGGCTTGTGAAACCAGTTGAATCATGCCCTTTCTGCATTTCTTAATGAGGTTTTCCCTTTCAAAGTTCTTTCACTATGAATATCAAAGACCTTATCCAGTCTTTTGCTTAGACCCTTTTGTACCCTTCTCTGGCCTTTCAGTGTGTCTGAAAGAGTAGCAGAGAATTACTCTGGCACAAAAGATGTCTGCTTTGTAGGATTGAGGGTCACAAATAATTTTCATCAGTGCTGGACTACTGTATTGCTGAATCAGTCCATACCTGGCCTAGGAATCAGACTACAGAGAGAGATATCTATCCATGCTGTCTTGATTAAGCCAATGTAGCTCACTGGCAAAAGTTGAAAATACAATAATTTTGTGAATGGAAAGCATTAATGAGTCTTATTTCTGTGTGTAAATTTGGAAGGTTATTTCATGCATTTGTAATGCAATAGGGAAGTAAATCAAAAGTAGAATTTCATCCCGCAAAAATGGAAAAATATATAGTTATAGAGTAAGTTCCTGGAATTGAACTCCTACTTAGTAGTAGTACTAGCAGTAATTACTAATAAGTTAGATGAGGGCCCTCAGAACTTGTTCTAAGGGCTGGTGTTTCTGCCATGAAAGGGGATTTGGAACTCGATGGTATTTGAGGTCCCTTCCAACCCAAGGCCTTCTATGATTCTGTGACATAAAATATTGAGACAAAAACACCCTTTGCATGGATAATACTGTTATGAAAAAATTTGACTTCCTCCGCTGGAAATTTTAGTTTCCTAACAGAAAGAACTTGTTTCAAGCAATTTTGACTGTAATCAGAATTATATGGGGTACATTCTTTGTACAAGACCATGGACTCAATGTAGATTCCACCAGTTAAAAAACCTTCTTGACCTTATAAGGCTATAGAGTAGATACAGCAAATTAGTCTTTGTAAATTCATCATTTACTATAGCATGTGCATGAGGACCTTTATTTACTCTGTTATTAAGACACACAGTAAACCTGTCATTAAATAAGAATTTTCAGTGAATCCATAGAAATACTTTGTTCTAGACTGAGATGATGTTTATGATACTAATTTTCTTTGTGAATTTAATCATTTTAGACCATGGAGTTGTTCCATTTTTTTGCCTCAGTATCCATTTATTTAATGATTTTGACTAAAATATTTTAAAATATCTACACTTGTTTGTAGTTTCCACAGTTGAGGAGGAATAATTTCAATATGTGTCTCATTTTTCCTATAGTGGGATACAGAATAAAAAAAAAAGAGTTTGATTTAAACCAGAAGTTAACAAACATCATATTTATCAAACAGCAGCAGCATAAAAACTGTAATAAAAGAACATTAAAAATCTTCTCAGGATTCAAATTAAGTTATGAACTATTTATAGGTCAAAGTACATTTAGAGTAAAACATAGTAAGAACAAAGTTTTTAACCAAAAAGATTCTAAGGCTGGTAACCGGTGAGCTAGTCTTTGAAGTATGTTTGTTATTCTTCCCATTGCAGAAGAATTTCACGAAGTTCATTAATAATAGCTAATAATTTCCTAAGGCAAACTTGAGATACTGTCTGGTTAGTCAGATGATGTAGATGAAAGCAGACATGTGACAGCATGATTTTTTTTTTTACAATAAAAAGCGCTGCTGTAATTTAGCAGCATGAAAAATATCTGCATCACAATATACTGATTTGCTTGTAGTTAGTGACAATATTGTGGGCAGAAAGCATGCAC